GTATGCAGATGGGCAATAAAACTTTTGATATTGTTGAATCGCTTTTACATCAAATCATTAGTAAGACTGACTACTATTTCGAGGTTTAAAGAGAAAAACTGATGGTTCTTTTCAGAGGGATGAATTTATTTTGTAGAAAGACATTTTACATACCCATTATTTTAATTAACTATATACGTTCCTCATTATTTGCGTACTCCACTATAGTTCTAGGTGTCTTACGAAAGATAGATTGCAATATACCGACTGAGCCAAAAGTTTTTCAACATTTTTTGTTTTGCATGTATCTCCGCTCAGATACATGATAGAAGGCTGATTTTTTTTCAAAAGATGCCCCATTTAATTAATGCTCTATCAGAATTACAAAACCAAATAGTTTTTACCTTTTTTTGACATATTAATAAATCAATAAAGGTGAAAATGTCTATTGTCACATCTTGTCTCATTATAAGAAATCTGGAAAATCCAGAAATTAGAAGTTTGAAGTATTGATAATTAAGACTATTGCTCTCTATGCCACACTATATAAGAACAGCAAACTTATTATTGCAAAAAAAAAACAGAAAATTTATCAAGTTGTAAATATTTGATCAGTATTATGTGGTTATTTCTGTTTGACACCTTTTTCGATTTATAAATTGAACACATTCTCTCTTGATATTGTTTTTAGTACCAGTACAAGAAGATCACTGCTAATGTAAGCGTATTTTTGAAGAACATCACTAGAAAAACTTCTTAGGAGGTTGCGCCGTGAAAAGTAGACATAAATGTTACAAACTTCATATGCTTAAACTTAGGATAGGTGATAACCTTTCTGCTTTAGTAGACTCACTATACTTCCCCATTTTTTCAAATATTGCGCTCAAGAATGAATGAACGGTACCTGATATCGCCTATTCAAAAATATTCAAAGTGTCTCAGATTTCTTTAATGGGACAAAGTGCGACAATAGACATCTTCACCTTTATTGATTTATGAACATTTCAAAAACAGCTAAAAAGATTTGGTTTTGGAATTCTGATAGAGCATTAAATGGGGCATCTTTTAAAAAATATCAGCCTTCTACCATGCACTTGAACGAAGATATATGCAAAATAAAAATGTTGCAAAACGTTTGGCTCATCCGGTATTGAAAATATCACAATGGATGCTTTCATTTTACACATTATGTTCCATTTATCAATTAATATGTCAAACGAATTTATATCTCTGACAGCACCGATATTCTCTTAAAAATTGAAATAGTAGTCAACCTAACTAATGATATAAATTTGAGTCCAAGTAAAGTCTTTTTGAGTTAAAACATATGGTAAAATTTCACATGAATAAGTATATATATAGATACGTGGTCAAGAGATCTGGAAAGCCAAAAGAGTATTTATGAGTTCATTAGGATTGATCGATTGTGGAAGTTCTCCACTCAAAAACGATTCGACAGTGTAAGAAATACTTTAGTTAAATTAGAATTATTCTTGTTATTTAAAGATTACTGGTAGTGATATGCCATTTATTGATCAACCCTCTTTTGACACACTTTCTAATCTATTATTTATTATTGATAAACATTATTATTGTCATGCTCATCAAGCATTTATACGTACACAAACGAAATATTTTTCAACTCTTGTTAAAAATCATTTTAATGAAATGTTACCAAATACAATCCAAGAAAATAATGGAAAATCAACAAATGATTTTAAAATATATTCGAAAAGATCTTTTGTATAGCTCACATATATTTTCGAAGAAAATAGTGAATGTAAGTTTTAAGTCGAAGTTTTATGGTTCTCCTCATCCTCACCCCCATTACAGACAATGGCAACTAGGATCAAGATTATTGGATACAAATCCACACCTAGCAACTGAGGACAGCTAATACCAGACTCTTGTCTCATAGTTTCTTAGCAACGAAAAAAAAAGCGATGAATGGCATTAACAATAAGATCTAGACTGTTCTAGAATATTCCAAAGTTATTCTTGATAATTAAATGGCTGGAAGATATTTTAGAATGTTCTAAATAGCGCAATTTCTGATTTCTGCACAAATAAATGGTTATAAGATAGATATTACGAACGTTGGGTAGTGATATATTGATTTGTCAAATTTGTCATATAAACTGCACAAAAAGCATGAACTGCTGAAAGTCTAACTTTCGGAAATAATCAGTATCAGTGTTTCTGAATTTATCGAAATGCATAATAGCGCGTTGAAATCTCTTATGAAATTAAATGGTTGTATACAATAAATTTAGTTGCGAGTTAAATCAATGGTTACAAAAAAAAATAAGAAACAGTGTTTATCTGACAGTTGATGATCCTTGGAAAGCAACTATTGTCTACCCAGGAGAACCATTCCAACAATCGGATCTGATCAGATCATATGTGAATATCCGACCAACCAATAAAATCCTATGGAAATTCACGTTACAGAATGACATCCGGATCCGTACTGTTGGAATCCGATTGAATCAACCGCAGGACTCTGGCCAACCTCTACTGTTGGCATCAGATACTAGTTAGTACTCAAGTAATTAAATAGCATTCAACTTTCAGATCCGTTAGTCGTTTCGTAACCCGGATTCTCATAGGGTTTTGTCGGCTGATCGGATCCGGTATGGAATTCATTCATCTAGGTAGTAGAGATCATTTACTTTATGTATTTTATATGAGTACAATGAAACTGAAGAAGACATGTGAGTTCTACATTTTAGTCGCACTGATAGGTCTTTTCTTTCACTTTTATATTATATTTATTCAGCTGAATGTGAAGTAAAATTATATTTTGGATATAAAATATAATTTTTTTTAAATAAAGATTTCAAATAGTTGTATATATAATTTACTTGTACTTGCTGAAAATTCTGTTATTTAGGTATTATAATAAGACGCGTCTGAACATTTTCTACTTGAAGATGCAGCTAATATAGTTGATCGACATCAAACTGATACAGTACCGATTATTGATGGTATACACTTTTACTTGACTGAATTTTCAACAGTTAATCCATCGGACATTGATGTGTACAAAATGATCTTCTGTTTCTGTTTTAGTTAGATAAGTTTACTAACCATGAAGCATTAACAGCTATTACATTTATTATAAAATCTTAACCAAAAGATGATGAATTTACTGAGAAAAATTCTCTTTCACTTGCTAGTCGATAAAAGACTATCAATGTTCATCAAGTAAATCTTTTTTTTTTAAATCAATTTTTTCTTGGAAAATGTTTCTATTTTAGATTGTTTTTATATTAGAAGAATTCAAATTTTCTCCTCATACAACACAATGGATTCATCATATTTATAATCGTCTTTTAACTTTCTCTATATCAGTGTGTACACTTTGTTTACGTCATTATGAACTACTTTATGTATTTTGATAAATATTTCTAGAAAAATCTAAATAAGTATGTATACAGCATTTATCTATTGATTCTACTGTATTATTTCTTTGTTTTCTTTTTTCTT